GAATTCTGGGAGTTGAAGTCCGCACATCTTCAAGTTGCCAAGGTTGAGAAACACTGCAGTAGAGGGACTGGAACAGTTGATGGGGAAGGCAACAAATACAGGATTCCTTCCACGCAGAGGGAAAGGAATTCAAAAGGCACTGTGTGCTCTAATACGGAATAGCGTAAATGAATCAGTAGATATCGGTCTGAATTCCTTCCCCACATTACCTGCCCAAATTCAGGGACAAGTGCCCCCCTCCAGTATTCCAGCACCTTATAAATGCATTTTCCTTCTGCTTTGAAACATCTCCTTGTGCTACACAGCAATACAGTATAACCGTTCTTCAGCCTTATTTGGTTTTTTTAAAAAAAGAAAGCAATGCAGTTAATGAGATAATCTAAAATACTGCAGGGTTCACAGATCAAGGGAGAGGTTTCGGGGAGCCTGGTGCACTGGGGGGGTGCTTATGGGGTGGACTAAGATGGCCACGGGGCACATCACCTCCGTTCTACCTGGGCACTTTTCTGGGGGAGGAGAATCCCCCCATATTGTGTTAATTCACCCGTAATTAAAAGGGTGGGCCCCAGCTACACTATGGGTGAGTCCTACTGAGTGACGTTTTCCTTCTGCCTTTGCTGCCTTTGGAGAGCAGGAGGCCGAAGGGCTGATTCACACATTACGAGGCAGGAAGGTTAGCTGTCATCCATTATCTCATTGGAAAGAGACTGGGCATGATCCGCAGCACCACGTCTCACTAAAGACATTGGTCCCATTGATCCTTGGGTCTTCTAAGTAGATATTGAAAGGTCTCAATGTAAGCTCTGTAATGTGTGAGAAGGCCCTTCCTCGGCTTCTTCGGTGGTGAGCTGACGCCCTTCTAGGATTATGGGAGGTTTTCTTTACCAGATTTGTTTCAAACGTCTGGTAGGAGCTTTGCTCCTCAGCTCCTCAGCTCTGGCTCCTTCTTCCTGGCCAAAGGCCTAACCCCCAGGCAGAGAGGAGACCCAGCTGTTCCTATCTGGAGCAAAAGATTAGCATCTGTGCGCCCTGCTTTTTCTCCAACCCGTTCCTACGGATACATTAGCACATTAATACTAGGTTAACCGTCACAGCTTTGCCCAAAGAATCCTGGGAACCCGAACGGGGACCGTGTTGACAATTTTGCTAGCACTTCCATCCCCTTGAATTTCCCAGGCTCCTTGAGAAGAGGAGATGACCGTTGAACCAGCGGGTAGGTGTGCCCCGAACCTCTCCCTTAGGTGAACGTTTACCCAGTAATACAGGCGCTGTAATACACAGCGCTGCTAGCATCGGATAAGGCTGATATCAAGCTGTTGTCCTCACAGGAAAGGCTCCGCGGCGTTACTTTGGACACAGAAACATGATAAGCAAACCCAGAAGGATCCGGACGAGTCCTGCTCATATTCAAATACTGGTCAAACTCGTTGCGGTCCACTTCTGTCCACAGCTCGCTGGAATTCAAGTGCTCCATGCCATCCAGCTGGTGAGATTCGGGCGGCGGGGACAGCTGGCCCAGGTGGGCCGACAGCCCATTGGTGGCTCCAGCACAGATCTGGTTGTAGTACATCCCAGATGGGTGGGGAGTCCTCATGGCTTCGGCCAGGTGGGCGGGCGGGTTCGGAGGGTATCCCATTGCCATGTTCCGCCCCAGGTTTTTTTCGGGGGAAAACTCCATCTGCGGAGGAGGGGGGTGATGGTGGTACCCCCGAAAGGACATCACGCTGCAGTCGTCCTGCATATGTGGTGGGAAAAAGGCAGGTTCAGCCTGTTCCAAGACGTCCAAAGGAGACATCTCAGGGGTCGGCAGGCCGTAGTTCTCCATATCCGATCCCATTGAACGCAGTTCTCGGAAGTGGTTGAGCGGGGGAGGCTGGGAGGGGCCCGAATGGCCAAGGCTCCCGCCGGTGCCGCGGTGGTTCATCCCAAAGCTCTCGCCGCAGGACTGGGGCAGGTTGTGGAGCAAGATGCCCGGCTCCATCCTTTTGATTTTCTTAGCTTGCTTCTTCCTCCGGGGACGGTACTTATAATTGGGGTGATCCTGCAGATGCTGGACCCTCAGCCGCTCTGCTTCCTCCACAAAGGGGCGCTTGTCGCTGGCGCTCAGCGCCTTCCACGCCTGGCCTGGGGAGTCCAAAAAACAAAGGAGAGGGCATGAAGAGGCAGCCGCCCCACCAACCACCAGCAGTTCAAGGGTTTAGCAGAGAAGCGGGCGTGGTCCCTTGTACGCGACTGGGGCGTGCAAAGAGCCTGGCAAATACGTATCAAGTGCGTTCACACGAACCACTTTGGGGAGTGGTTTAAAAGAGTAAGTCTTTGCAGGGGTGGGCATAGGAGTGGGGGGTCTAAAAAGTCATGAAGGGGGCTGCAACCGGGGGGGGAGCCTTGTTCATTTTTTACCTGCATCACAATTGCAATGCTTGTAAAAAAAGGGGCAAGGCATCAATAGTGCAATCATGGCCACCATCCTGACTTTTTGGACCCCCACCCCTTCCGCACACATCCCCAGGTCCTGAGAGACTAATGGCTGAAGGTCAGGGAGCCAGTTTTGGTCCCTCCCTGGGCGGATCCATCTCTTTCTCTGCTCTCTGCATACCACACCGATTGCGCGCAGAGGAGTGATGGCGCCCTGATTCCCACTGATTCCCACTGAGTCAAGCCATCGTGCCAAGTTTTGTGCTGGGAAGGATACAGCAACAAAACTCGCAATGTTGCTTTACAAACCGGGGATGGGCAGAATGCCCTTCAGAAGCTAGAGAATTCCCTCTTCCTGGTAAACATCTTAAGATTTTTTGGTGGACCATGGTCTGATTCTAATAAGACGCATGGAGTTATTTGTGATCTTTGTCTTTAAGGTACCATAACGTTTTGAGACATGTTCATAATTCCTAAGAACGCTTGTTCTACTTTGAATTTAGGTGTGGAGATGTCTAAGTATAACAGGGCGAACGGATGCCTCACTGCTAAGTCTTACTAATCTTATTGGCTGCTGAAGGTAGACAAGACACGTATTTTGCAAACGAGGGAGAAAAAAATGGCCAAAAAAAAAGGGGGGGGGATTCTTGGCTGAAGCAACTAGCCACTGAGTAAGTGAGTAGCAGTGACTTACTACAAAAACTTCATGAAGTAATCACCATGGTTTTTCATCTACCCAAAATCTCATGGGCAACTTGCGTGGGAGCACCCATGAGCATCTCACACACCCTCGTGTATTCCAATAGATCTTGAAAAGAAGGTGGCTGTCCAACGTTATCACTTCTCCAAGCTGGTGACCTCAAGATGTTCTGAAGGGACAAATCCCAAAATTCCCAAAAGCCTTGAAGGGTGGGAATTTTCAGAGTAACAGCCCCAACACATCTTGAGGGGATCGGCTTGTGGAAGCTTGGGCTGTAAGATGCTGGACGAAGAGGCAATGAATTGGTCAGAAGTGGACCTGAAATGGGTGCAGGAGAGGGACACTGTATGAATGCCCTATCTGAGAGACCCAATGTGTCTTAAAGACTTCAGTATCGCAAAATAGTAAGCAAACTTCTGGAGTTTGGAACCTTAGTCCTCAAATTGGATGTTAAGGAACAGGAGAGAGGCTGAAGGAGATGGGAGAAATATAATAACTAATCTAGCTTTCTCCAACTTGTTGTCCCTCAACTGTCATCTCACCAGCTCTGGAGAAGCACCAGAAATCTCTAATCTGATGCAAGCTCTGAAGCATTTGAGGGCTTGGTCACTATTTTGTACCAGGGTCTCGTGCAGTGTTTCTCAACCTCGGCAACTTTAAGATGTGTGGATTTCAACTCCCAGAATTCCCCAGCCAGCATGTTGGCCGGGGAATTCTGGGAGTTGAAGTCTACACATCTTAAAGTTGCCGAGGTTGAGAAATGCTGGTCTAGCGTGTAGTCTCATACATTAATATCAAAGTGATAATTTTTTGGCACCTTGGCAACTAACAATCTTAGGATCAGACCAGGTTTTGTGCACTGCAATCCGGTTCTAATCAGATGCATGGAGTTATTTGTGATCCATGAACGTCTCCAACTACATCTCTGTTTGTCTTGAAGGGGCCATAATATGTTGAGACATGTTCACAATTCCTAAGAACACTTGCTCTACCTTGAATTTAGGCATGGAGATGCCTCCTAAAAGGCCAGCTGCCTCTTTTTCTCCCACAAGGATGCATAAAGAGAGGCAAAAAACTGGTTCTCTCATGCCATCACCCCAAGTGTTGCCTAAAAAAAAGTTATGGTTCTTTCACACAACCATTACTTGTGTAGTCAGTCAGAGTGTTAGTGGATTCTGGAATGGGCAACTGGTTTTTTGAAGGTGCACAACTTCCAAATTGTGACTCACTACATCAAAGGGGAAGTTGTTTAGGGAACATTTTCCAGAAACAGTGAGCTGCAATTTGGACATTTTTCAAACCATATAAGTGAGCCAAGTTCCACTTTAAAGAAAAAAAAAATAAGATACTCTAAAGCAAGTTAATTTCACTACAATCCCTTCAAGCATTTAAAGAACGAGAAATGGCTTTGAGACAACGTACACTGGAGCATAAAAATCTTTCTAAAAAAGCTCTTAAATCACTTTCCATATCATCTTGGTTTATGTCTAAAGCCAAATATGTTGTCTGAAGTGGCTAATATGTAGATCTGGTTTAGAAATGGCACTTTCCCACGATCGGTCCTTTAATAAGAGTGAAGAAAAGGGATAAAAAGTGGATAAAATTATTCATGGCGCAGAGAACGGAGGTAGGGAACACGCGTGCCCCAGATTGTCCAATAAAGCTGAAGAACGGGAGATTCCAGGTTTATAGCAAAGAGCTGCTGTTCACACTGGACATGGTTAAACCATGAAACTCATGGCCACAAGATAAAGTAACAGCCAATAACTTGGATGGGGCAAATTCCAGGAGGATCAAGCTATCAGTAGCTATAAATCACAATGGTGACCTTTCTATGATCTCCTGCAATATCAGAGGCACCTTGAGAGCAGGAAGAGAATTAAAAAAAAACAACGTAATGATCCCGTTTTCTTTGAGAAAGTCATTTTCTAGAACTGGAGGAAAAATCCCCTCTGCTTTTGTTTGAAGGACAAAGGTGCAAATATACTCCATTTGGATTTATTCAAGATTGGGAGAAACTATACTCAATACAGAATGGGGCATATAAATAGATAAATAACAGAGTTGTTGGGAGTCGGGTGGCATATACATTTAATAAATTATTACTATTACTATTATTATTATTATTTAAATGGGACTACACTGAATAGTCTTGATCAATAGAGTATTCCAATGCTGCTTTCACTCTCTGGCTGTGTTCTCACAATACACTTAACCTGGCCAGTGAAAGACTTATTCACTGCGTTTGCACAACATATGAAGCTTGATTAACCTCACCACACATTTCCCCCCTGTGGCTTAGCGTGCCATGTGAAACCAGCCCACTGGGTTAGTTTATGATGCAAGGTGCTATGTGAACCCAGAGCATGGATTCAATCAGTACTGGAGTTAAGAGTATTGTGTGAACACAGCCACTGCTTTGCGTCCAGATACAGAGCGCTCTTGAGCACCAGAGCAAGGCTGTAATAAATGCTATTCTCCCTTGAGATGTGCATCCTAATTGTTTGCTAATTTAGCAAGCATCAAATATTTGCCAGTTGCTCCAGATGTGCTAGCTCATAGCATCATAGAACATAAGGGTTGGAAAGAGCCAGTTTGGTCTACGGTTTAAGGCTCCAGGCAAGAAAGCAGGAGATGGTGAGTTCTAGTCCCACCTTAGGCACGAAAGCCGGCTGGATGACTTTGGGCCAGTCCCTCATTCTCAGCCCAGCCCACCTCACAGGGTTGTTGCTGTGGGGAAACTAGGAGGAGGAAGGAATATTAGGTATTTTCACCGCCTTGAGTTATTTATGAAAATAATAAAGGCAGAATAAAAAAAACTAAAAAAAATGGCCTTATCAGTCATTTAGTCACCCCAAATAAAGCGGTTAAAACTCAGAATACTTGCAAGAGTAGGAATCAGGAGCAATTCCATGTGTTAAAGAAGGGTGAACTCAGACGTAGGATTGCAGGCAAATTCCAGGATTCAGCACATGCTCAGGAGCAACTTTTCCCTTAATTCTAAGTACCTATCTGCCCTAAGTTTTGTTTCTTGTTTTAAATGTCCAGTAGATTTTGGAATTACAGTAAAAAAATAAAATGGATCTCATAGGTCTGAAATCTCTTCCGTCCTGTCTCAACTGATTCCCTAGATCCTTATAAAGATGCAAAATGTTCCAGAATAGAGCCCAGTTAGGATAATTAAGATAAAACCCTGGGATTAATGTGGATTAATTGGGCTCCACATACAGCCCAATCTTGCTTTCTACATCCTTTGTCACCCTGAATAAAATTCCTCTGTCTGTTAATTAGAAATACTGGATTAACACAACATGGCAGAGGGTCAGTCTAGATGATCTTTGGGGTTTTTTCCAACCCTACAATTCTGTGATTCTCTGCACGTACTTAAAAGGTGGGAGAAATCAACCCAGGACGTCTCCTTAGTCTCTGGGGCAGTGTTCTCACCCTTGGCGACTTGAAGATGGGTGGACTTCAACTCACAGAATTCCCCAGCCAGCAAGGTCCACCCATCTTCAAGTCGCCAAGGGTGAGAAACACTGATCTAGAGTAACCAAAAGGGAGCCAGGCTGTGCAATCTTCATTCCCAACCTACCTCATTGGAACACCTGCACCACCATGCTGGGCGAGAGTGATGGGAGGTGCTCTCCTGCACATTGCAGGGTCACCTAATTGGGGAAGGATGTGGCAGGGTGGTGTGGCCCCTCTCCGGGACATTCAGACAGAAGCCCCGCCATCTGGATAGAACCACCATCCTGTTTCCAGCTGATGTAAAAGCTCACCAGGGCACCCTCGACAGTATTCAGCTCCCTCCATAGGAGCCTCTTCCCCTTCTCTGCTAACCATAATCAATCATCATTCCGTAAATCCCTCTCTCTTCTCCGTGGTTTGTTTCGGACTAGAGTTCCCCCCCTCCCCAAATTCTTGCAGCCAGCTTTGTGGTTCCCCTAGGCACGCTATCACATCCCTCGGTTCTTGCGACCCGGGCCGATGTGCTTCGCGTGCCGTGCGAACCCAGCCGGCTGTGGCTGCTTAGATATCCCGCGGCTCAGAAGAGCCTAACGCCGCTCCTCGACGGCGGG